CGCATCTTGTAATATTTCGGGATTGTTTGTATTATTTTTCATCTTTTGCTTAGCAGCCAAGATAAAAGCTTGGACTGAACTTTTCTTCTTAGGCAAAACTTTCTTCTTTGACACTACTTTTCCTTTAGGTTTAACTTTGGCAACAATTTCTTCTTGTTCTTCTTCCCAGCCTCTARAACGAAGCTTTTCTAATGCTTCAAATCGTAAATCACAATTTTGAATTTCCCTGTACATCATGTTCCAGAATCCTTGCAAGTCTCTACAAGTAACTAACATTTCTCCTTTACCACTCTCGCAATCAGATACTAGTCTTTGAAATCTTTCAAATTTTTTATTTATTAACAAACGTGTTTGTCCTATAGCTTGATTAATTAGATATTGAGCATCTTCTGTAATATGTGACTCTTTTTGAATATCTGTCCACTTRTTGATAAGTTCATTAAGTTTGTCTGTTTCTTTTTTTAATARGAAAGCAAAATATTGCGCAGTACGTTCTTCATCTTCAATCGATAAGTTAAGAGTTTGCATAACTGTTTCTTTAGTAGGAATACTATCATCTGGAGAACCAATACCACGACGTAATTGTTGTTCCTTTCTAGCATTACTTTTAYCTCGWCTTGATACTATGTATGGTGAAAAGTATGCTGGATCCTTACATAAATTAGCATTATCCTTTGTTGAAGGAGGTGTTTCTTTACTTGAATTGCTATTTATATTTTTAGAAGATTTGTTTGTAACTTTTTCCTTAGAAATATTTTTTGAAAAAGAAGTTTTAATTTTATTATTTGAATTTTCGTGTGTTTCTTTTTCTGTCATGATGAGTGAAATATTGCCAGGCGACAGTATAATTTTTGAATGATTACTATAAAAACATCTTTACCTTTTACTAGTAATATGTATTTAACCTTGTAAGAAGAACGTTTTTACTTTATTCTAGAAATATCTGTTTACATCTATTTATATGAAAACACCTTTATTCTATGCTAATGTGAGAAATGTATTTATTCTTTTCTAGAAATACTCTCATTTCTTCATATCATAACAACAGAGGACGGCATTTCTTATACTTTTACCTAACCGAAAAAGAAATCTTCGCTTGTCTTAAAATATGTATTTATACTTATAAGACGGTCGTTACTACTTTTTCTAGAAACATCTCTTTTCTTTTGTATATATACGAGAACACRTATTTATTCTATCCTATAAATACTC